CTCCCGATCCACTCTCTAAACGCTGGGAGGAGTGAGGAAGCAGACAGGCACCCTTTTCACTGGCCAACAGTTAACTGAAAATTCACATTTTGCACTTTCCCTCCCTCCCACGTGGTTTTTTTTCAGTTCTTAACTCAAATCTAAGTACTTAAGTCAAATCAATATTTTCCTATGAGAGCGGTTCTTAAGTCAAAATGTTCTTAACTCAAGCCGTTCTTAAGTCAAGACACCACTGTATGTACAAACAGACCTTGGAAAAGCTTTTTGTTTGTTTTTTTCTGTAGTTTTTGGTTATGAACTCTGAAAATCCTGCAAGGCCACTAGATATCTTGGCCTATCTGAGAAAGAACACATGTTTATAACTATCTGACACCTTGAAGCAAGCATTCAAGCACCTAGCTGCAGCTGCTTATTTAGAATTAAATATGTGACCCTTACGTACAGATTTCACTCTGTTTGCTCTTTCCATTTCCAGAATGCCGGACATTAGTACATACTGTGTACCATGAATAAAAAGGTCAAAGAGCATGCAGATATATATGTTTTTGGCTCCAGAATTGGGAGTTCAATTCCTCGCTGTGCCTGCTTGACAAGAGCTTGATGATCCATAGGGTCCCTTCCAGCTCTGCAGTTCTAAGATATATACTATTAAAATGCTTCATTTCGGGACCCTCAGCCTCAGTCTGTTCTAAAGATATCAAAGTCATGTCCAGAACTATCTCTCTCTCCCAATAGGCTTTATGCCTTTTTGCCAGTTCTTTCCCTTTTTATGTGTCATGTCTGAGTTAATCAACACCTCTTGGGTAGTTTCTCCCTAACTCAATTATTCAGCTGCTTTGAGCATCGTCATGGAATGCAATAAGAACTGTCTGCATCTCCCATTTTCTTTCTTAGCCATCCTTCTCATTCTTGGAGCCTCAGTTTGTAGGCTGTGCCTAGAGAACAACCAAGTAGCTTGCCAGCACAGACCGTGGAGAGGAAAAAGGAGTGTGAATGGCTGTAGATGAGACTCAGTGTCCTACTATGAAGTTTCGCTGCTGACATGCATGCACATTCATGTTGCAAGCAAAGATGGGCAAGCCTGTGTCACTTTCTCATGCAGCCTAGTCTGGTCTATCCAATTTCTGCATTTATTTTAAATACCTGCACAAATGTTTTCATCTAAATATGCATTTAAAGGATTCTCAGTGAAAAGTATTAGTTTCTAAATAGATTGTTCTAAATGTTGACTTTTTAAAAAGCAATTTACGTGGAAGAATATACATATATATATCCATATGTCTCCTAATGCATGCATTTTTAAAATGCATTTTTGCATAATATGCCCATTTTTGCAAGTACTTTTCCTAGTATAATGTCCTTTTAAAGTAAATATTTCTTTTGAATGCATTTTTTTTACTGAATTCATGGAGGTACAAAATTTTTAGGGCACCTGTATTTTACTTTGCATATGGATCCCTATGTTTAGAATTAACAGACTATCACTGACATACCCCTTTTGCAAAATTATAATAATAATTGAAGAACTATCTTGCAAAATTTAAAGATGCAAATTTGGCAGAATGACACAATCTGGATTTGCATATCGGTCCTCATGTTTGGAAATAGGGAAGTTTGCATCAAGAGGCAAACCACATGGATTTCTTTCCCTTCGATAAGCGTAACTGCCTGACGTTGTTAACTCACCTTGTCAATGAAACAGGCAAACTTGCTGTTCAGCGATTGGAGTTCTTTCTTTTCTTGGCATTTCACTGCTTGGGCGGATGAGTTGATCTCCAGCTTGATCGGACGCAAGAGAGTCTCATTGCAAATCACAGGTGTGATGAAGGGACTACCGTTTTCACTGGGCCAAGCTTGTTTGGACCCATACGGGTGGAAAGAAGGGAAACTGCACCCACTGCCAGGGTAGCCCCATCCTGCCCCGATTTCCCGATGACTGGGTCCGTATCTAGCAGAACGGAAGCTACCGACACCTGGAATTCTACATCTGTTTGGGCTGATACCACCCAGGCTTCTGCTACTAAAGTAACCAGCTCCCCTAAAACCAGGATTGAAACCTGAAGGACTCATAGAAGAGCTGGAGTAGCCTTTACTACCCAAGGGTGGAAGGAATGCTGAGCCAGAGGTAAAATGACGGGGTCCATCTCCTGGATTCAGTGGCGAAGACATCGCTTCTTAAGAAACGAGTACGAGAATGAAGAAGAGACGATAATGGCAGGACACACAACTGTAGAACATCTCACCTGCTTCGGAAAGGCTTTGCCCTTTATATTTCTTTCAGGAGGAGGATTTGGCTTCCTCATCATGGGGGGGGGGAGTTGGAATTGGTAAAATTTCTTGAATTTAATGAGCTGGGAATGTTTTGTTTTTACTTCATAAAAGAGAAAAAAACGTGGTTCATGCTACCAGTCATGGTCCATACATATAGTTTACGTCTCTTGAGTTTGTCAGATTTACTAGGGTGATACATTCTAGGGATCTATAAAAATTGGCACCAGGAGAAGGATTCTATTTTTAATCTGGCACCTTCCTTTGTAGGCAGCTGGACAAATGTCAAAGGAAGATTCCCAAATATCCTCTGAGATACCTGCTTGTCTTCTTCAAGAGCTCAGGAAAAGAACCTCTCGTATGGGAGAGAATCTCATTCTTGTTCCATCACAAATTCCACAGCTTAGAAAAGCTACTTCTCTAGACTACAGGCTCTCAAAATCCCCCAGCTGCTTGCGGGCCCAGGTGGAACAGCCCTGCACTTCCTTCCCACACCAAGATGCAGTAAAAACAACAGCAAGACCATTATGACAGAAAATTATAAACGAGCAGAAAATTGTCAATAGTACAGATGATTATGGGTGACACAGAAAATGACATGTGGATGGACAAGGCCACAGCTTGAATTAGTTGTAGCGGGACAGTCTTGGTGCAGCATAAAGAGGACATCCCAGTGTTGAGTGACCCACCTGCCAGCCCATGCCATCCTCCTAGCCCCATACCAACTGGGTATGAATACTCCCCCCCCCCAGCACAAGAGCACCAAAGCCTGACCCACTGCCACTGGTCTTGGAGAACTTTGGCAATCCTCCTGAGATGGACACACCCCTGTCAGTCCCCAGCTCCTCAATCCCATTAGAGGGGATCTCTTGCCTGTGACAGGGCCAGCTGCCCACTTCCCTTACGTGGGATCCACTCCAGTGCAACCACCGTGATAATACAACATGTAAACACAACCATCCCTCAATACAAATTGACATGACCATGAACAAAGCTCCCTTACGTGGGATCCACTCCACTGCAACCACCGTGATAATACAACATGCAAACACAACCCTCCATCCCACAATACAAATTGACATGACCATGAACAAAGTAGAGGGAAGGTGAGTGGGCCAAGAGCCATTGCCTGCTGCCAGAACTTCAGCCAGAGCCCGCTTTTGTATTTCCCTGGCCAACCAGAAAGGAAAAACCATCTCCCTCCATTCAGACAGGGGAGACCACGACTCTCCTGCCCCAGCGTCTTCCTCTCCCTAGGCCACCCCATCCAAGAACTACACAGGCTGGGCTGTCCTTCTAAAAAGCATCCCAGAGCATTAATCTCCCTGGCTCTGCTCTGTCTTATTGAACTAGATGGTCACTGATGTAATATGGGTTTTGTATACCATGCTTGTGTGTGGATTTTTCTATTCCCCTTCCTGAGCTTTCCTTTATCCTTTCCCCCTGAAGGTGACAACAGTGGCACAAGGCTTTGTTTCTCCCAGCACTTTCTTAGCTGGGGAAGATTTCAGATGCAAACTGGTGGTGGAGCAACATGCTAAAGAAACCATAGCCAACTCATAGATATAGCTCCAGAGACGTATATATGCCTCTGGATGAAAAGAGAGGAAAAGTGGTCAAGCTCCAGTCATTCTTACATCTCCATATTCACACAGGGTTATATATACCCCAGATTCACAGAAGATCAAAGCAATGTAACTAGTGCTCGTCATGATTCATGGAACAAATGGAGAGACCACCCAAAATAACCATTGCATTTATTTTTACTAGCTTTGCTTGTGCTTTCTTGCAAGTATTAATGACAGTCCAGCAGGCCCTCCAAAGGGCAGGAACCGCATCAGCAACAGATGCCTTAATCATGGTTTTTATTAGTCAATGAAACTGGGATGGCCACAAAAATGCCAAGTTAATGATGGCTTTGGCAACAGCTTCGTCTCTGGACAGACAAACGATTGGACACTTAAATAGAATGTCGCTGTGGTCATCAAGGTGCAACCTGCTGAATAGAACATCCCTCGGGATGATGCCCTGCCACGTGGAAATCAGCTGGTGTGACCGTGACATCTTCACAAATGTTTCTGTGACTTTCACAAGTCTTGGGGTACCCAGGCTCTCTCTCTCTTCCTTTCAGGTATGCAAGGAGTTGGCCCTGTTGCTGCTTCGTTGCTTCAGAGTATACAAAAGGAAATTAGGAAATACCATTTACAGGGGGAGTCACAACGGGAGCAGGTTCCGCCTTAGCCCAGCTCTCCCACGAGTAAATTAATTCCATGGGTGCATTTGGCCCACTAATTTGACAGGAACATTCACATTCAGGTACACTCAGAGGGAGAGCTATGTTTGGCCTGGTTATTAAGCCCAGCACCTGAGATGCCTGTTGCTGAAAACTCCCAGCTCATAAATACCATGAAATTGCTCTTCCCCCACAAGGAAGCAGCCAAACCTAGCTTTGCAAAATGGATATAAAGGACTATTCGTCCTTCTGAAACCATCCAAGCTTTCTCTTCTCCTTCTTCCTCTCCCCACCCCTCTCCTCCCCAACCCCCCCAACCCACATCTTTTTGATTTTCCTTCCTCTGATTCCATCTCATTCTGCCAAGAAACAATGTCTTGCCATTCCTGTTGCAGATGGGGTGCGAGGACCTACAGCTCCTATTCAGACATTTTGCCCCCCCAAGGAAGGCAGTGCCGGGTCAGCCATGGTGCTTGCCCTCCTATGCGTCCTGGACAGTGTCACGGAGGAGCAGTTTGCTTTAGCAGCAGGAGCGTTATCTGCGGCGGACCCCGACTGGTCCGCAGGAACAGCCCCTGCAGAAATGGGTGTTGTGCTGGTATTGGTGCTGAACACCGTTGTTGCGGCTCTAGACCGAACTGCCATTTTGTGAAGGCCGGAGGAGCCGTTCCTGGGGCACCACGCATCACGCCCATCACTTGCAACATGTCTCTGCTGCAACCTCTTGACCTGGGGATTGATACCAGCGCCTTAGTGGTGAAGTGCCAGGAGAAGAACGATCTCCAGAGCCTCAACAGCAAGTTAGCCTCTTTCATTGAGAAGGTGAGTTGCAGGTGGGGAGCAGGAAGACAAGTGTCTCCTGGTCCATCAGGGAAACATGGCCGAACAAGGACGATGGGGAAAGGGGATTCCAAACGAGGTTCCTATGCTAAGTTTTAGCTGGCTGGATAGCTCAGTGGTTTAGGTATCTGTCTGCAGAGCCAGAGGTTGGGAGTTCGATACCCCAATGGGCCTTCTGTGAGTAGAGCCAGCCTGTGTGGCCTTGGGTAAGCTGCACAGTCTCAAGGCATCCCCAGGAGAAGGGAACAGTAAGCCACTTCTGAGAACTCTCTGCCTAGAAGACCCTGTAAAAGGGTTGCTATAAGTCAGGACTGACTTGATGGCACTTGATGATGATGATGATGATGATGATGATGATGATGATGATGATGATGATGATGATGATGATGATGCTAAGTTTTAGGCGTATGGTCAAACGCTGAGCAGCCGATCCTATAGTCATGGGACAACATTGTGTGCTTTTGTGTGTGTAAGATTCACAATGCAAGTTCTTGACGATCTTTCCTAGTTAAATGGGAGTCGCATGACTTGAAACAACATTGAAGAAATATGAACATTTTGCTAAATCACCATTTTTAAAAATGAATTGACACAAATTTCTCAACCCCTGGTACTTGCAACCCTTGTAAATGTGGTAACTTCATGGATGAATTCATGAGAGAAGTCATGATAGAACAGTTCCCACACTGGCATGACGGTCACCTGAGTATATGCCAAGCCTTGGACATTTGCTTGAAATGCGTATAGAGCTAAACTGGTGCTAGAGATGTAGGTTCATGTGCATGCCCTGCCCTCAAATATTCCCCTACACCCAGCAGGGCCATACACCTTGGTCTTGTATCTGTGTAGAGCTGAACTGGGCTGCAGAATTCCCATGACTGAGAAATATGTCCCCACTGGATGAGGACCCAGAGCTCCCAGAAGGCAGGCTCCATCATCCTATATTAGAAACCAGTGTCCAAAAGCGACCCCTGAGGATGCACTGCTTCCAGAGAAGGGGACCACACAGCTGAATCAGAATTGGAACTGCCCTCAAATCCTGAACAGTGAGGATGACTCTTAAAGACACAGGACAGAAGGGAACTTCTAGCAGAAGCGCAGGGCTGCATCATCCTTGCAAGCCGATAAGGCATATTTAGAGTCCCTGTTCTACGAGTAACCTGTGATCTGATGAGGCAAAAGTTCCCACAATTTGGGGCTTGAGTTGATTGACACTGTTTTGGGATCCAGGCTTTTTGGGGACCCTAAATGATGTAGGTTGGAGGACTAATGTGCAGGTCTTTCCCACCTGTTCATTATTGTAGATCACAGCTGGAAAGCATCCAGATAATTTGCATCACACACAAACACATGCACAGTGAGACGAGGCATTTAAAAACTTCAGCTATGGCCTTCATGCCATGGGTCATAGCTGTAGGGAAATGGCTCCTCTTGTTGTAATATCAAACAGCAGCCTCTTCTTTAGTTATCTGATAGGACACTTCACACCAACATGTTGGATGATTACTAGAAAGCACAGGCACCAACGGTTTGCTATTGCAACCCAGGTCCAGTTGTTGGAACAATGCAACCTGAAGCTGAAGACTCAGTGGGATTTTCTGCAAGAAAAGAAATGTCACAAAAGTGACATGGAGCCCCTCTTTAAGGAACATGTCAAGAGCCTGGAAAAGGAGCTGGAGTGTGCTGAGCATAAGAGAGATGAGCTGCAGACTGAGTGCCAGGCTTTGGAGGAAGCCCTGGAGGACCATAAGAGGAGGTGAGCTTTAAGAAGCATTAAGGTGGTATAATCCAGCTATTAAGATTCTCTCTCTCTTTCTCTCTCTCTCTCTCTCTCTCTCAATCAATCAATCAACCAATGACTGGGGAAATCTCAAATGATTTTTTTTAAGTAAGAGCGTTATACAGAAAAAAAGACTGGGGAAATTTGATACACATTTTCCCATTGATCACATGACACAACAACAAATGCAAATCAGCCCAGTCTTACAGTCCCAATATAAATCTTCCCCATTAAAGATCCTTCTACTTTTCAAAAGTCAAATTTGTTCACTTTTGTTCAAAGAGTGTGATTACTTTGAACCAATGCAGAAAGGAAAAATCAATTGAGTGTGTGTGTGTGTGTGTGTGCGCGCACACACACACACACACACATATACACAGAGTGGTGTTTCAGCAAAGCACCTTCCCCCTTGCCTCATGCCTCATGAGAGAAGATGAGCAGAGTGCACGTGCACATATACATAAACACACACAAGTAGCTCCAGCACCCATCCCTCTCCAGAAAGCCTCTCTTCTTCTTTTTTTTTTTTAAACAATTTCTCCTCTGGCACAGCTCTTGCTTTTTTAACATAATTTTATTTACATCTTAATGAGTTCTACCTGTGGGCAAGGAAATGAATGATTGAGAAAGGAAAGCCTTATTAAGGCAGTTCCTTTGACCTGCACCACCTACAGGCATTTCAAATGGAACTGCGATTAAATGTTTTTTTCTCCTCTGCTTCTGTGGCCACATATCGAAGAGAACTGAATATCCCACTCCAACTTCACAATGAGAGAATGTGGATTAATTTTCATTTCCCTCACTGTGTAGTCACACCCTAACATAACAGATATGGAGGTTTATAAAGCTGTACCCCTTGGCTTTCTTGGTTCAGAGCTCAGCCAGTTTTCATAGAATTACAGAATTATAGAACTGGAAGAATCTATAATTCTGGACCAAGGATCACTGAATCCAGCCACCTGCCACGGCTAAAGTATCCTTGCTATGTGATCATTCAACTACTGCTTAAAAGACTCTAGTGAAGAAGAGTCTACTATCCTCCAAGGCCATATGGTAGCCCTTCATACACTTAAAGATGGCTGTCATATCCTCTCTCTGCCTTCTCTTCTCTCAGCAAAATATGCCACATTCCCTCAACTTCTCTTCACAGGGGTTGGTTTCCAAGCATCTCACAATTCTAGTTATTTTCTCTGGACATGGTCTAGCTTCTTGATATCCTGCTTAAACTTGTGGTGCCCAGAACAGAAACGCTACTTCAGGTGAGATCTGACCAAAGCATGGAGCACACACAGCCCAGTTTATAGTTTTTGATACCTTAAAAAAAATCTTTTCCACTCTTTAAAGGTCTTTCCTCTTACTGGATTAGGTTTGAAGAGGAACACAATAGGCGAACATCTGCTGAGAATGAATGTTTATTACTTAAAAGGGTAAGTAGTAGTACAACAGTATGAGTATCACCAGTATCTTATTAGCTTTATAATCATTTTTAATAATATGAAATCCACAAAAGTTGAGGTTGTTCCTCTCTCCTCCAGAGACTGTGAGGTGTTAAACTGGTTTTGTGAGTGCCGCTCTGTTTATCTACAGCAGGGGTTCTTAACCTGCGATCAATGAACTCTTAAAGGATAGACGGATGAGCTTGAGGGGGTCCATGAAATACATGTGGTTCCGTCCTTCTATTTCCTTCCTGATCTTTAGAAAATTGTCTTTTTGTCTAAAGGTTTATGAACTTTTCTGGAGGCAGAGGTTCATAGCATTCACCAGATTCTTAAAGAGATCCATGACCAAAAAAAAGTTAAGAAACATTTGTCTAGAGCAGTTTCCCCCCAATCTTGAGCCTCCTGATGTTCTTGGACTGCAACTCCCAGAAGCCTTCACCACTAGCTATGCTGGCAAAGGATTCTGGGAGTTGCAGTCCAATCATGTCTGGTAGCCCAAGGTTGGGAACCAGTGGTCGCTTTACCCCATCACTGGAAGATGTGGCTCAGTTTTTCCAAATTGCTTGCATTTTTCCATATCGTTACTTGTCGTTTTTTCATTCCCCTACCACCTCTGCTGGGACTTGATATTTTTAGGATCCTCCTTAGAAAATAGTGTCTCTTGTAGCTCCTGATGCTCAAGTTATACATGGGAAAACTGGTTAAACCTTGCTCATGAGTAAACCAGGGATCCAAAGACATGTGTGGATCCTGCTCGCAGGAGAGAGAGAAAAAATATATATCCAGGGTAAATGGAAAAATCCCTGGAATGGGAAATAAAATAGATCTGGTCAAAGATAACAAGTAAGGACCTCTTAAGCATGAACCCAAGGGCTCCAGATTCCTCCATCTGGACAGGTCCCCCTGTGTCAGCTCCTTTAGGTGGGGTCATTTATGTACCTCTCATTGAGACCAGTAGGAGAGAACAAGTGTAAAAGAAAAAAAAGGAGAGCAGGGAAGCAGCTTCTAATTTTTGTTCCACTGGTTCAGCCATAGAAGGAACCATATTTTCAATGCTTCTTCTCCCTAAATCTAGCTGTATTTCTTGGCTCCCTTTATTTTGATTATTGGTTTAGAGGAAATCTGGTTCTCCAGGGATATGAAGGCAGGCATCCACAAATATTAGAGAAACTCTTCTGGCTTCTCTTGACATTCCTTTAATAGGTTGGCCTATAACAACCCTTCCCAACCCTCTCCGTGGCCCTGGATTCACCTCAAATATCCCTTTAAGCAAAATTTCAGTGACAACTTTAATTTATATTCTTTGCATCCACAACCACTTTTCCTTCTATTCTTTCCTGTCTTGTTGCACTCTCCTTCCCAAGGAGATCTAACTTGGTACCAATCACTTAGTTTTCTTTCTGATCCAGGATTTTGTCTGTGCCTCTACGCGCGCTGCAGACTTGGAAACCAAAATAGCAAATAATGTCAAACGCCTCAGCTTCTTAAAACGTATCTACAAACAGGTAATAAGATTTTTTGTTTCTTGTTATATGATGCTTTGCCTGTCAGTTCCCATAACAAATTTAAAGTAGTAACACAGGAGGGTTTCTTTGTTTGTTTGCTTAATAATAATTATCTTGGAACTGCAGAGCAGGAAGGGACCTTATGGATCATCGAATCCAGCCTCTCTCAGAGAGGCACAGTGGGGAATCCAGTTCCTAACACCTGGCTCTTCTAAACCACCGAGATATCCAGTTTGTTTGTTTTGTTTTGCCAGACTTCTCTCATGTATCTTATCTGAGGAAATGAAGACAGAGCTTAGAAGAAAAGCATTATTGGACTAAGGCTTCCAGAATCCCCACCATCCTTAGCTATGGTGCTGCCAGTTTGTTGGCAAGAGGCTTGATGATGGGGACCATACTGCTCTCATGCTACAAAAGCTTCACTGGCTGTTTCTAGGCACTGTTGGAACTGCTAGTTGTGACCTATAAAGCCCTCTACAGGTCCAGACTGCCTAGAAGGCTGTGGACTCCCATGCAAGTCTACCAGGGTTCTGAGAGTTCAAGGGGCGGCCCTTCTCGTAGGCACTTTTGGCAGAGAGGTGAGAAAAGGCCCTCTTAGTGGCTGCTCCCATGCTCTGGGACTCCGTTCCAGGGAAGCTCATCTGGCCCCATCCTCATTGTCCTTCTGTCACCAGGCAAAGACCTTGCTATTCAAATGGACTAGCAGTCAGGAAGGGGCTTCTACTAGAGCAAGAGACTTCACCTATTTCCACTGAGGTGCTTGACCAGCCAATGGTTAAAGAGTCCCACTTGGATTCTGTGTCATGCACAAAGCCACCCACCTAGGGCAATATGAGGAATTGCATATGGAATTGCCTTATGCCATTCCTGCTACAGCAGTGTGAAGTTATGCAAGAGGATTTAGGCCAACTGCTTCCAACTTGACAGTGTTTATGTTATTAGAATTAGGTGCAACCTTTTTCAATGTAAAGTATTGGCTAAAACCCCGTTGCTTACCGTAGTAAGTCAAACTAGAGTAGGTCCATTGAATCAGGGGATCTGATGAGTCAATTCCTCCATAACTCTGTTGAGTTAATGAACCTACTTTAGTTGTGACTTAATACACTAAGCAAGAGCCATTGTGTGTGTGTTTTTAAATATTATGTGTTTTTGAAAATATATCATGAGCCATTTTGGCCTCAGTCCTTCTGGTAGTCTGAACTGATGTATGCCTATTCAATATGTGGGGATTTGGATCAATTTCTCCTTTACCTCCATTGACTCAATGCGAAGCAAGAATTTTATCCCATGTCCCTATTTGTTATATAGAATGCATTGCAGCGACGTTGTAGTTTATTTTCCCAGCACCTATCAAATGAATGCCCCATTGTCCAACTATTTGATTCTCAATGTTGCACAGTGAGAAAGGAGTCGTTGCGTTCTCTCGTGCTGCAGGAAATTTCTGAGCTGCAGAACCGCATTTCTGACACTTCCATCAGAGTGCAAGTGGACAACAGGCGAAAATTAGACATGGGGTGGATCATTGAGGAGTTCCGGCGTCAGTTTGAATGCACCGCTTCCCGGAGCCGAGCTGTAGCTGAAGCTCGGTTCCAGTGCCAGGTCAGCAACTGGGCAGATCTGGTTGGGCCCCAATGATTCTTGTCCTTACAGAAACATTGTGTAATGGCGAACCTATCTCACTTCCTAATCAGGGACTTTGTATGTCTTGGCAGTATCAGAAGCTCCAGACCAAAGCAGCAGAACAGAATGATAATCTGCAGAATATCAAGGGAGAACTTCAGGTTTTGACCCGTGCTGCTCATCATCTGCAGTCAGAAACTGAAAGCATCAAAGCTCAGGTGAGTTTAAAGGAGTTACTGCTCAGTGATTTAGGTATCTGGCTGTGGAGCTAGAGGTTAAGTGTTCATTTCCCCACAGTAGCTCCTGCCCGTACAGCCAACCTGTGTGGTCTTGGGCAAGCTGCACAGTCCCAGGCTGGTGCCAGAAGAAGGGAAGGGTAAACCACTTTTTGAGGACTGTCTGGTTGTCCTCTCTGTGTTCATGTGGAATGGGGTTTGACTTGACTCAAACTCCGGGCACTTCAGGAAAGGTACTATGAGAAATGTATGTTTCTGCATCCGCAGTGTCATAGACTGCAAGAGGAGATAGCTGCTGCCAAAGAGCATGGAGAGATGGCGGTGAAGGATGCTAAATCTAAACTGGGTGATCTGGAAGAGGCCCTGCGCAAGGCCAAGCAAGACCTGGCTTGCCAGCTACGGGAATATCAGGAGCTGATGAATGTTAGGCTGGCTCTGGATGTTGAGATTGCAACTTACAGGTAGGGATGGATGAGAATGCTATTTTGGTTCATTTTGGACAACAATTTTATGAAACTTTTCAAATTTCTTATGTGAGATGGAAAAAACAAATAGGATGTTGGATAAATGGAAATGGACATATTTGTCCATCCAGGCCAGGGCTTTAGAAATTTCATCTAAAAATACTGTGATGGAATCTTTGTGTATTGCTCAGCCGCTTATTGTGGCATCTTCTCAGAGCTCCTATAAGGCAGGTAACTGCATGCTGTACCTGTCCAATTTGACCAACATAATTTTGCTTCCTTTCTTTTGAAGAATTTATCAGAATTGATATATTTCTTTGTATTAGAGACTGAAAGAATTTGAGTTTTTAAGAAGCAAAATAAGAGAGGGAACTGACAGATTTTTTCCATCTTCCTTTCAGGAAACTTTTGGAAGGAGAAGAATATTGGTAAGTACGATTCAGGCCTGGAAAATTATTTTTGCCAACAGTATATCTGTTGCCATCTAGGCATCTGAATTAGGCGTGAACTCCTTCCACAAAAATGTAAGATGAGACAGATATCCTAAATCTGACACTTCTAGTTTTGAGTGCAGGCATAGGAACATTGAAACAATGGCTAGAATTCTAATCGTATTCACATAAGATTTGCATAACTTGCTGTGGCTAATTGAGAAAGTACTAGGCTTCAGCTTGGTCATGTGCTTAGTCAAGCTCCCAGCAGCATCACTGAGATGTTCCTTGACACCTCAGTAATTAGTTGCAGCAAGTTACGCAAACCTTTCAGAAACACCAGTAGGTTCCAGGCAATACATTTATAGAAATAAGTAGTTGTACTACAGTTCAAAGGTTGTTCCCCTGCTACAGATATATGGATTCTCCCCCCAAATGCATCTAAGAATTCCACCTTTGAGCGTTGATGTAAACTCAGTTTCAAAGTCCATATCTTGAAAAATCTGGACTTCAGATTTGAATTTGGGAAACATGAATTTAAAATTTATATTTACCTTCTAGTTAGCTTTCATGCCATACAAGTCTTCTTTATTTTCTGAGTATACATGCTAGAATTTCAAAATGCCAATGTTTTAAACATTCTTGATGGCTGCAATCCTCTGTACGTTTACCAGACAATAAGGTGCAAGACATCTGGAGAGCGCCATTCAATTTCATGGGGCTTACTTCTGAGTAAACCTGCCTAGACTTGAGCTGTGCTATTTCAGATTTGATTGACTCTTCTTGGGTTGTGCTCAGCCATGCTACTTTGCAGGAGAGTCTTTTGCTCATTGGGGTAAGAGTCTTCAGGCTTCAGATCATAGCTGTGTCTGACCTCGAGTCAGATGTTGACCCAATGAGTGATTTCAACTTTCCTTTTTTTCCCTTGTTCTCCTAGGTTGAAGAAAGAGGAGCGTGCTGTGAATATCGGTAAGTTGCTTATTTGCTGAGCTACAATATGACAGGTATTGTTCAAGACTTACTAGTGTACATCCAGATGGTAGTTTTAGATGGCTGCTGGTGCATATCCAGATTCCTCCAGAAGTCACATGTCCGTAACTCTGTCTCTGGAGCAGTAAACATCCCTTTTCGAACCACAATATTTAGTTGCAGGAGTAGTCAGGCCAGTATACTCTAGACACAGTGATCCACCATGTTCTTCAACCTCAGCCAGCAAAGGTGATGGCCATGGGTCAGTCATTTCGATACCTGGCTGTGGAGTCAGAGGTTGGGAGTTTGGTTTCCCACTGCGGCTCCAGGGAGAAAACACCTCTTGTGTGGCCTTGGGAAAGCTGCACAGTCCTAAGGTGTTGCTATAAAAGGGGAATGGTGAACTGCTTCTGTGTATTCTGTATCTAAAACCCTGGAAAGGGTAGCCATAGGTCAGAATTGACTTGATGGCAGATGATTATTAGCATTATTATGAACTCAAAAGCATGTGTAAAAAACATTTGGAGGGCACCAGGTTGCTTACTCGTGGCAATTGTTAAACCCACTGATAGATTGGGGGCACTATTTCATCAATCAGGAAAATTGATTGATGAAATCAATTTTTTTTAAAATAAATCTTGAACATAAAGTATTTACAAAGGTTATGGGATCCATCTTAGAAGAGTAATCCCCTCTCTTCCTTTAAAAAGAATGAAGTGCTCAGTCTAAGATGGTGATACCTTTGACTAATATACCTGTGCCTCATCTGAATTTTTATTTTTATTTCCTTCCGGAATATTGTTTTTATTTGCATGCAGAATTATGCAGATTTGCTACATGGATCAAACAGTCAGTTAAAACCCTCAAATGCTTCTTTTCCTTCAACCAGAATTTCTTAACTCAGTGCCCACCTTAAGATTAGCACAAAGCAGCTACAGTATCTGGTTTACGAGCTTTGAAATGTCAGGGTTTGAACATGGCGGTTTTCTAGACTATAGTTCCCATAATCCTTCAGTTTACATGGCCAGTGGCCACGCAGGCTGGGGGATCCAGGAAACTATCCTTCAAAACAGCTAACTTCACCATGTTCTGAGAAACTTAGTTGCCTTTCTTTCCCAAACAACAGCTCCACCTAGTCCAGGGTTCCAACTCTGTCTGGACATAATGTATTTCGTAAGCAAGACCTGATGAGAACATCAGATGAGTCACTAGACTATTTCTAACACTTTCAGTTGGGGGTATACTTTCTCTGGACATAAAGGGTCTGCGGCTACATGTTATTTTGATGAAATGACTTTAGGAGGCCTATCCTACTACAGTGGTGCCTCGCTCAATGATGATAATCCATTCCACTGAAATCGCTGTTTAGCGAAATCATTGTCTAGCGAAAAGCATTTCCCCATTGGAATGCATTGAAACCTGTTTAATGCGTTCCAAGGGGGAAGAATCGTCATTGTCTAGTGAAGATCGGCCATAGGAAAGCCGCTTTGCGAACCGCCAATCAGCTGTTTAAATCGTTGTCTTGCGAAGCTTAGGTCCCGAAAACACCTGTTTTCCGAGCGCGGAGGATGCTGTCAAAATCGTTGTCTAGCGAAAATTGGTTTGGGAAGCAGGGACCAAACATTGTCCAGCGAAATTCCCCCATAGGAATCACTGTTTTGCGAATCGCTATAGTGATCGCAAAAAGTCAATGTCTAGCGAAAAAACTGTCATGTGGGGTAACTGTCTAGCGAGGCACCACTGTACCTGGTTCTCTCTTATTAAATATTTAGATAGCTCACCTCAAAATAATTAAACTGAAGCCCTTGGGAGTTTCCATATCCATGTGTTGTTAAAGCCTGTAGGAAGCTGGGTTTGGTTTCCCTACAAAATGAAAATGCTCTTTTTTTCCTTCAGCTGTCCAGCAATGCAAGGGTGCAGTAGTTCGTAATGATAAACTCCATCATGGACAAGGACACACTTCCCCATGTGGAAGCAACTGCAGAAGCCAAGGAGGTTGTGACAGCACGAGAGCCACCTATGGTGGCAGCAAAACCACAAGAACCATCCAGACATGCGGTGCCAATGACTGCAGTTCTTTTTGTTCCTGCACGCAGGCCTGTCATCCCGATTTCAGTGCTGGGAGTGTTAAGAACGCCACCCTGCAGACTGTGTCCACTGCTTACTCACGTGGACGTTCATGTTGAAAGTAAGGGAGTCTACAGCAGTGTGGGGTTTTATTTTAGCTTTTTGGTGCAGGTATTTCATGCTGGGAATGCATAGCCTTGGGAGGGCGAAACACAGGACACTGGAGCCTTGTGGCGCTCATTTTAAAATGATATTAAAAAGCCACATAGCTCCCTCGACTGATATGCCCTGCCTCTTATATCTGGATATCACCAATCCAAAAATCATGTGACTGTCGCATGACTTTAAACCGACTTCAAAACCCCCAATCCAACTCCTGATTTATTTGAATCGTGTAACTGCACCCTTTGTCAACATTAAAGTTATAAAATTCTTCTGTAGTCATTACAGTATTTGGATCTTCTTAATATTGAGCAGCAACCCCGGTTTTGCGTTTTCTTCTTTCAGTTTCCTAGGTAATTCTTTTGAGTAATTGCTGCTTTCTGCCAGTAAGAAATCGTCATATGTGAGGCTCCATCCATCCTATTATTAGCAATCAAAAAGAGTTGATTGCTAATAATAAGAGCTTTTTTGCATTCAACTTGTGCTCTCCCTCTTCCCATAGCCACACTGTAAGATAGATAGAGGTGTTTGCATGCATGTGTTTGAAAGATTTGGTGATGTGTAGTCAGGCCCAACCTCCTCCCTGACACTCATGTTGTGTTTTATGCAGCTTGGTAGATAAAGGCAGAATTATACATGGGGAGTGAAGGGGATGAAGATGCATATACACAAGTGTCCCACTGTTCTAATTGGTGTGTACCATAAAGACTGCCAACCACTTAGCTTTTAGGAATTCCTGCCTCACATGACTACTACTTAGACACAAATATTGGCCAAATTAAAAAAAAATTCTATTCTCAAAAATTTTCAAACATTTGTTTTGGGATCTTTCAGCATCATCACTTAAATAGCTTCTTCTATCTCTCTCTGTGTGTGTCTTCACAGGTGAGTTCTTTTTCTTTTGTATAGGAGGAAGACTGGTTCTTAAAAGAAAAACCTCCCTGCTTGACAAGGCACAATATATTCTATCATATCCATACACACACATGTTCACAGTCTAGCTACAGAGAATCTTATCTTATATAGGTAAAGGTAAATTACATGACTCAGGGACTCAGGAAGAGGAAGGACAGGCCTGTTGGAAGAGATGTAGTCAATAGGCCTTCACACATTCTTCTCTGTTGTTTTGGAAATATTTTATTATCTGTTCATTTTTAATGGAAGGACCACACTGGTATCATTCAAGGCCTAAATTGCTTTTCTTTGGAAGTATGTGCAATAGATTATTTCCATTCAGAAAATTTCTTTTAAATTCATGGCAAATAAATAAATGGGATTTTAATAGAAAAAGACAGAGACTGAACTTCACATGAGGAGTTCTCAGCAGGGAGGGAGATGAGTTTTAAAGAAAGATGTTATATTTGCCGTAGTATCTGTACTTCCTAAGCCTAAAAGTGGACTAGACATGGCCAGGTCAAAAGGATGGAACGGTGCTCTGCCTGTCATGTGCTTTGTTGATCAGAAATATTTCATAAAATTAATGCTGGAAGGTTGGCATATAGCTCAGTGGTCTAAGGATCTGGGTGTAAAGCTAGATGCTGGGCATTTAGTTCTTCACTGTATCTTCTTGACAGGTCTTGGACTCGATGATGCATAGGGTCCCTTCCAGCTCTGCAGTTCTAGGATTATGTGCACCATCTAATTGATCAATAAAGATCTGCAACAAAATGTTGCAAAGGGTAGACACTGCCTGTCCAGCCAACAATGCCCTTTCCCGGGATACTCCATTCCATTGTCCATCCCCTGCCCAGTTCTCCATTCACCAATAAATCACTATTCTGTACCCACTGAGAGTGCTTATCCCTTATGGAGCTATAATTATTTTATTGTCTTAAATTATTTTATCTGTCTATAATTATTTTATTTGTCTTATTTTATTTGTCTTTCTCCTGACAAGGCTTTGGGCTGTATCCTGTTAAGTTACATCTTATCCTATTACTATTAATATCTCACTGGAGTTCAGCTGAAGCTTTAAGGACCACGCTGCACCAGGGATAGCAAAAGCAGCAGTCGCAGTGATGTGTACGTTTTGGTGGAGCTAAGATTTCAACTCACTGGAGGCTATATGCTGTACCCGTTTATTACAAAACAGAAGACTTAACCCAACAGAAAGGCAGACCACAGGAGCAGTTGCAGAACATCATCTGCGAGTTCCCTCGTTTTCCTGGAACGGTGAAAAATGAATGCAGTCGTAGATCAGCACAGCTAGCTGACCACTGGTAAATGAGTAAGGAAAAAGATGGAGTTTTACACAAGCATTTAATGACCTGAAGAAATGCCTTGCCCCTTAAGATTCACCACACTGAGTCGTCTGAATGAAATTCCTATGACAAACAGCAGTAGGACTCCAAACAATCTGGTTCTTTGGAAGCTGGTTGGGCTTCCAATAGAAAGACGGGCAGAGAAGGACAAGCTTCTTGAGAGCTTCCTATACAAGGAAATGTTAGGGGTGTTGGAAAGGAGGCAGAGTCACAGTTCAGACAAGCAAGGAAAGGACCCCTGCCTGCAAGCAGTTGAAAGGCAAAAGCAGTGCATCAGATCTGTGGCACCCACTCCTATGCGGGCCCAATCCATCTATATGCTGTAACCAAGGTGCGCAGGTGGCTACAGAAGGGAACTTACAAAGCGGCCATGAAAAGGCTCTGCTAAAAGGCTGTTCCTGTCCCAACCCACCTGCAGAGGTCGCCCTACCGAGTTCCTCCTTTGCTTTTTAATATTTTGCCCTATAGGAAGTAGAGGTGGACACAAACTTGACATTAGAGCCTTTTGCACTTCCGGCACTGTATGCGCCGACTGGGAGGCAAGGGGCACCCGGGTCACCCACGCTGGCTGCCGTAAAAGTTCTGCCAATGCCATGCACACTTCCTCCTCCTCCTCCTCCACTGCTCAGGATCCCTCCCCCTCTGAGGACCGTCTTGCTGCTGGCGGCGTATCCCCCGCCGATACATGGATCAGGATCACACAGAAAGCCACCCTGATTTCGACACACAGCTGTAGTCAGAAGAAAAGAACAGAATTTTGTCAATTCCCACCCAAGACAGAAAAAGTGGCATGAGATGCATAGCAAAGTCAAAGTTAAAGATTAACCGAAGGATTGCTTACAGATATTCACGGGGCCGACGTCTCCGCACAACCTGTTGAAAGAAAATGGGGAAGTCTCACACTTCTGTGATATCATGAAGGTTGCATTCTGTACCCATCCACGAGCCTCCTCAGGTGGATGAAAGCCACTATTTGGCATAATTTCAAGCGCTTCTTACATAGCGTCCCCAAGGTACGTGTGAGGCCGGTCTTGGCCCATGTAAATGATGAGGGAATGTGGTCTGGTTTCTACCCCTTCCGACCATGCGGGCCACAAATTTATTCTGTCCCATTTCTGCACCCATTTGCAAATCTCTGGACTAAAAAGTCTGCACGAAATGATATACCCATTTTTCTACACATTTCCTCCAACATACAGTATACTTTTTCTGCGTGCATTTCTGCTGCAATGCAGCTCTTTTGCATGTGTTTCTCCTAGTGTATGCATTTTTGCACACAATTCTTCTAAGGTATGCACTTTCACAAATTTACTCCCAATTCTAAGAAATGCATGGAAAATTGCCTTGTTCCCCCCACGCCTTTCTCCTCACCAAAGTGTAAAATCAGAAGGATGTTTACATTCTAGTTCAAGCTTTTGCGCGCTTCCAAAAGAGCTTTGCATTTCCTAAACTAAAGTACCTGCTTTTTCACTGATGATATCAGCATTTTTCCTGCCATTCTCGATCTGTGATATTGTGTGGGTTTTGTCTCCTCCTGAAGACATAGTCTACTTTTTGGGCCCAAAAAACATGCCTCCAAGTGGGGGGGTCGTCTTGTACGCCGGGTGCACTGAAAGACGCGGGGCCGCGCTGGCCGGGGAGGAAGGCAGGTGGGCAGGCAGGTGGTCTGGATGGATGGAGGGAAGCACAGCCTGCCATGCCTGAGCGGCCATTCTTCCTCTCCCTCTCGCTGCCATGCCTGAGCCGCCACTGGGCTGCCCACTGCCCCGCACCGCTGAGCCAGCTGCGCGCTCGCTCGCCCGCTACCCGCCCGTTTCCCTTCTTCCTCCTCCTCCTGTTGGGGGGGGTGTCGTCTTATACGGCCAGTCGCCTTGTGCGCCGGCAAATACGGGTAGTTTTGCTTTGGATAGTTCTGGGGTCTTGGAGCTTAGCTCCCATGAAGGTCATTTCTAGCTTCCTCATTGGAAACTTTCAGTCCGCAATTAATTAGAACAGAAAAAGGAGCTCCAGAAGATCTCTGGCTAGGATTTGCCACCCCCTCCCCCAAAATCTATTTCTGAAAAGGTTTCTGGATTGTCTTGGGAGAGAAGCAGTCTTCTGAGGGATACTTCAAAAGTACAGTTTGGACACATATCTTAGTAAGCCCTGCACTTCTGCTGGATGAACAAGGATGAACAGGGAGAAAGGTGTGTGTGTGTGGAACTTTTTCCCCACCTGGAAACATATATGTTCTTCCATGTCACTGTGACATACATGGAAGAAAGAAACTCCAGTGGGGGCTCCTCAGTTAGAACTTTTCCCCCACCTGGAAACATATAAACAGTATGTTCTTCCATGTTGCTGGGACATACATGGAAGAAAAGAAACTCCAGTGGGGGCTCCTCAGTTAACCCACCTGCTCTCCTCTCCTTCCAGCAGCTTCCTATAAGTGGCAATTTCAATGTCCAAAGCCAGCTTGCAGTTCATCAACTCCTGGTACTCCCGCAGCTGCCGGGCCATGTCTGCCTTGGCTTTGATCAGGGCATCTTCCAGCTCAGCCAGTTTGCCCTTCGCATCCTTCAGGGCCATCTCTCCATGCTCCTCAGCTTCTGCAATGGCTGCCTCCAGCTTGTTCCGCTGTACAGAGGAAAACCAGAGGCATTTAACGGCCCGCTCTCCCCTATCGAGATGAACAGTAGAAGCCAATAGGGTGAACTGCTTACATTGAAACACCTCCCAGAAGTCTAAGAGCAATGCCTATGACCCCATACGAAATTATATTTCTTAAGAAAAAAATAATAATGAAAAATGCCTCACATCTGCTAGTATTATGTTGCCTCCTAGAGGACACCGTTTTTGAGCAAAAATATTTTTACGACAGTATAATTTTTTAAAGGACGCAGGGAGACTCTCTGTGTTTGAGGGGCCCAAAGGTGTGGGGGTATGCTTTGTCCTAAAGGGATCCACATGAGGAACAATTTGGGCCACACTTGACAAATACTGCAGCATGGACAAGCCAGAAACCTGCTCCCGCCCCCCACCAAATCTGACAAAGAGGAGGATGTTCTGGGTCTGGCATAGCTTTGATCCTTGAGAGCCCAGAATATTGAATTTCCAGAAGAAGGTGATCCTGTGCCTCAGCCAAAGAAGAATGCTAGACTGCAAAGATCAAGGGATGATCCCCCCCAGGTGCACTGCTCAGCTGCAAAGCAATCTCTGGGTGGATTCCAGCAACTCAGCTATAGAAATATTTGCCTGGCCCCTGTTGGAGATCACATCTCACTCTGGTCCATGCCTGTTGTGTGACTGGATCCTCTTTGCTATGTATGACTTTCGAACTTCACGACTACACTTCTGGATTCTCTCTGTTTGGTTTCAGACACAACTGGGCTGGTTTATCTCTGTTGGATCATTGGTAGGATTCGGTTGCCAGACCTCTGGGCTGCCTTTATCTTCATTCTTGATTCCCCCTGCTGTCTTGAGTGGTTTTGTGCCTGCACCTGCCATATCATGTCCTGGGAATTAGTTTGCCTGGGGGTAGGGCCACTGTGGGTTAGCATGCTGGGTAGAGATTTGGAAGATCAAAGTTCCACTGAGTCATGAAACTCACTGGACAGACTTAGATCAATCCTGTTTGCTCAGCCTGACCTTTGTCACAGGGTTGTTGGGGGGGATGAAGTGTGGGGAGGGAGAAGAGCTTTGAGTTCACTTGATGAATGGCAGGATGTAACTGGAACTAAGTCATTGTCTACCTTATATTACTTTAGCATTATGTTTTTCATCCTAAAGAGCCAGAGATAGGCCTAGAGAAGACTCAGAAAGCCTTCTAATTACAGTGGCATCTTAAACAAATTAAGTGGGGCAGATCTAACCCATAGTTGAGGAGAAGTTACCTTTTTTGGACCAGTATAGGGGATGTGCTTCAAAAAAAGGTCCCATCTCCAGTTTATTCTGCTATGGTGCCTATCCAAAATCCCATTCCAGCTCCTAATCATCATCTTTCAGTGGTTTAGGGTTATCTCATGGAACATCAGGAAAAAGCTTTTTAACTGAGCAGTTCGACAATGGAACCAATGATCATGGGAGATGGTGAGCACTCCAGCACTGGAGGCATTCAAGAGAAAATTGGATTTGATTTGGATTCTTGCCTTGAGCAAGGGGTTGAACTCGATGGGCTTATAGGCCTCCTCCCAACTCCAGTATTTTGTGATTCTACGATTCTATGCAATGCGAAACTCGATGGGCTTATAGGTCCCCTCCCAACTCCAGTAATTTGTGATTCTACGATTCTATGCAATGCGATTAACAGCCACCCACTCAAAGCCAACTGAGAGCTACCTGGCTTTTGGCGTTGTCAATTTCAGCCTTCAGCCTTTGAATCACACGGTTCAGCTCCATAATCTCGTTTTTAGTGTCCCGCAGGTTGTCACAGTGCTTGCCAGCTGTTGCTCTCATCTCTTCATACTTAGAAGGACAATATTAAATGTCAAACACCTTGGAGCTTTTACCACAGTTTCTGAGGCAGAGTTTCATACTGTAAAGCTCATGCTGATCCCTTGTGCCCCCTTTTAGCGGTGCGCGCGCGTGGGGGGGGGAAGAGTTGGATTTATTAAAATGTATTAAAGGTGGATCAAAGAATAATGTGATTGATTGTGCAGGTTGTATCTTGATCCATTTTGTCACCATACTGAACTATCTATTACAGGTAACTATCACTAGGAAACAGCTTAAGGAGCGATTATATGCGATTGTCACTGAAGGAGTTCTCCTCACCTCCTATAAGCTGCACATTAGCATGCTTTGTTTTGTGACTGGTCCTCAGTGCAAAAGCACACAGACATCAACAATTGCCTTAGTCTCTTTAACAATAACACAATTTCAGTTCTAAGGATGGATTATCTGTAATGTATAGTTGGCCTCATTCTTTCCTCCAATCTTTGTTCCCCTTTCTTCTTTTCACATGCATGGATACCACTGAAACAAGAGGTGGTCATGGAATACTGTTTGGGAGAAAGAGAAGCCCCCCCGCTCCGCCCCCCCTCCAGGTCAGGAATTAGTTCCTGACTTTATATTGCCAAACCATTCTTGTGGAGGAGTAGAGAGGAGGGATCCCCTGCTGTATACTATGCCAACACTATGTGGCGGGGGGGGGCATTTCAGGGGGATGAAGGGACTTAGAAACATGCCAATCTATGGCCACTCACCACACTCTTCTTCCCCTGACATTGCCTGAAGTGCCTTAGAGAAGTGCTTCCTAAATGTGGGGCCTAGATATCGTTGAACTGCAACTTCCAGCAGCTCTAGTCATTACAGCCAATGGTCAAGGTTTCTGGGAGTTGTATTTATTTATTTTATTTATTTATTTATTGTATTTATACCCCGCCTATCTAGTCATTTCGACCAGAACATATATAACCCCAAGTTTAGGAACCACCGCAGTAAAATGTGGGTGGTAGTACAGCCCAATTGGCAGAACTTTCCTCCTCCACCACTATTTCATGGAGGCCTCTAGTGGCAGATCTCCTTCTCTGAAGGAGGAGGGAGAGAAGCCCACCACATCCAGTGGCTCCTCACCCTGCATCCCAGAGAGCATCACACACTGGCAAATAGATGAGATGCTATCTAAAGGTCTAGGTTAAATGGGGAGCCCAGCTGCACTATACCCCATATAGGGCATATACATATGTCAGCTGGTCTAAATGTGAATCAAACAACCCAAGTTGTTCTTCCTCTTCCACCTCCTTGAAGTATTCATGTGCCATCAGTATATTTTATAATTAGTAGTATGCTTTACAATTAACACTGAAATTTTCAGGACACACTTGTGTTAGACTGTGGCAAGGGGGTCAACACAGACTCCTAAGTGGTAGGCCCCTTCCTGTTAAAGGTGGAACAAAAATATTTTAAATCTAAATAATAAAGGCCAAGAGGTTTTCTTTGGCATAAGCATTTGTGGAGTGCATCCTGTTTATATTTGATGAAGTCATCCATAAAGGCTTAGGCCAAATAAAAACTCACAAGCCTTTTAGATGTCAGAAGATTCTTATACAAACAATGTATACAGACAACAAGAACACCAGAATAAAAAAAAAAACAAAACACACACACATACACAAAACAAAACAAAACATTTTCCCTCATGGATCTTTGTACATTTAAAAAAATAACAACAATCTTAAAATAAAGCTGCCTGTCATTTCATACTGTTATTTTCATATTAGGTGACACTTCTGCATTGGACTTCACTTCCTTTTTAAAAAGTGCATAGCCTCTATGTTGTGATCACAGGTATTGTCATGTATTTTACAAGGCTTTAGTCGTCTTTCCCTGGCAAAGAAATTGCATGCTTACCTTGCACTGGTACCACGACTCTGCTTCATAGCGACTCTTGTTGGCAATATCTTCGTACTGGTTTCTGACCTCAGCGATGATGCTGTCCAAATCTAGGTCTCGGCTATTATCCATCTGCACAATAACTGAGGTATCAGAGATGGAAGCCTGCAGCTCCTGGAGTTCCTGGATAGAACAAGTATCAGACACGTTCGTCATTTGCTACCAGGCCTAGAGACTAGGATGCTGCTTCCCACTGTGTCCTTTGGCATGATCTGACACAGCAGTGGGCGACTCACAGGCATGTGCTTGGGTGGTCTAAAGCAGTGGTTCCCCAACCTCGGCCCTCCAGATGTTCCTGGACTTCAACTCCCAGAAATCCTTGCCAGCAGAGGTGGTGGTGAAGGCTTCTGGGAGTTGTATTCCAAGAACATCTGGAGGCCCAAGGTTGGGGACCACTGGTCTAAAGGTCTGGAGCTGGCAAGGAGTATGGTGGGCCAGAATGGCCAGTATAAGAGAGGAGAGGCCAACCAGAATGGCCAGTATGAGGAGAGGGCTCCTGCTGCAGTTTTTAGAACGCTCTAGAAGATGAGTTGGACCATGCAGTCAGTGGTCAGTTTGTGGTCTTCCTGAATTCAGCTAATTTTAGACTCACACCAGGGGGGTCCCAAGCCATTGTCCCATCTGTGATGGAGGACAAGATGGTGACCATGGGTTGATTGGCAGTGCCATCTTACTTCAGCACTGTTGATGCAAGAGTGTCCTCCTATTCACTAGAAGAGTCCAATTAGCTCCGGGAGGAGTGGTATAGCAAGAGGTAAACAGCTATGGAGCCCATGAGACACTGGCAGGAAACTGCCATTACTGTCTTCCAGGATCTACCCCCTGTGAGTGATAGCTTCATTTATGGCTAACAGTAGGGCTGACCCTGACTCAGACCACTTTTTCCTTGGAGACCTCAATAAGCTACAGTCAATATAGGCTGGATTTAGCTTAAGAATGCCAGTTACCTGCCCCTCCTAGCAAGTGGGGCTGGTAGTGCATCAAAACATGGCTCCAGAGACCCGAATTACAGGCTTGTTTAAATACCATTATATGGACTAGAGATGGGGGTATTCATATATGAATACAAATACCCCTGTGTAGGTGGAGATAACAAGGGTCCGGCCCCATGGGGGTGGATGGTCCACTCACCAATGCGCTAATGCCGTGGGGTCCACACTCCCATACTATTGCTCCGGAGATTGAGCTCGCCGAGCCTCTCCTGGCAGGAGGTAGGATGATAAGCCTCTCTGCCAGGTTGATGAGTGGCTCACAGATTGGGCACTCCAGAGGGACAGAACGGGAGCATGGACCCCTTGTTATCTTCACCTATGCAAGGGTATTTGTATACAAATATGAATGCCCCCATCTCTAATTTGGACTTCTACTTCCTGCAATTTCATATTTGAAAAATACACCTGGAATGGCTGATCTTATGTTATTTGATAACTTTCTCCTCCAATGGACCAAGGATTTTGTAATAAAAAAAAATCACAGGGTATGTTGGAGAATAGGAAATGTCATTACCATGTCATAAACACATTTCAGAATGTTAATTTCCTCTGTTATGTTGGTCAGCTTGGATTCCAGCTCTGCCTTGTTCATGTATACACAGTCAACATCCTGGGGATTCATTAAAAATATAGTAAGATGAGTTATGTTTATGTAGAAAATGGTTCATATACTTAATAAAAATATTGGTAATTTAATCATCATTATTGTTAATGTTTATTTTAGTTTTTATTATCATTTTCAAAAGTTGATTGTTGTCTCATAGACATACATACTGTATATATACAGTTTACCATGTGAGAACATTACAAACAGACAAAAGACAAAAGTAAGAAGACTACAGAGAGGGAGGGGGGGGAGAGAGAGAGAAAGAGAGAGAGAGAGTATAAGAAAACCAAGTATTTTTCTATTAAAAGGAACATAAGAATCCCCAAAACAAGACAAATTCAATGTCCCTTGTACAACAGGTCTCTGGGAATAAATTACCAAAAGTTTGCCTTTCATAGAGAATCCCTCTTAAATTTCTTTCGGCATGACAATAGTTTGTGTAAGTTTGTGACTGGCCCAAGGTTACACAGTGAACTTTGTAACTCCGTGGGGATTCAAATTGGCTCTCGGGTCCCACTTCAAGAGTCTAACACTTATACCCCACAGGCTCCTAAACAGAACAGTGGCCCAATGCTAGAATATCCTAACACTGGGCTATATCAGTAATTCTTCACCTTTTTGTGTGTGTGTGTGTGTGTCATGGACCACTTGAAGCATCTAATAGAAAGCTATAAATCCCACCCCCAGACAAATGCACACGAGCAGACAAATCATTTTCCTTGTATCTGATTCATGGACATCCTTAGGTCCCTCCATAGACCCTCTTGAGGTCCATCACTCATAGGTGAAGAACCTCTGGTGCATACTGTACAAAACAACAGGATCAGCAGAGAATTTCAGACCCAAGTACTGTACTTTCAGGTCCAAGTAATAATTTTGCTTTTAATCTTTGATGGACAATACATCAGGGGCACATGCAGCTCTTAAACCCACTCTTATGTCCCCTCCAAAATCACAAGCAAAGTGCTTCAAGAATCTGAGAAACATTTTATGCATGCTCTGATGATTTTGCACGTTCCTGTGCTAGGGAGAGTGGCTGCATTTGTTGCTACCAAGCACAGCTCCTTCAGAGGTTGTACAGGCCTGGGGAAGAGTCCAACATGGTCCTTCAAACCAAGGAACTTGCTTTAGAGAAATAAAATACAAATGGACACTCTGTGTATGAAAACCTGGAATAACAGAGTTCATATTTTTTTTCAACCGGCTGTGCATCACTCACCTTTTTCAATGTTACAAAGTCGTTCTCAGCAGCTGTTCGCCGATGACACTCCTCTTCATACCTGCCAGAGAGTGAATCAGTTTGAACCGTCATAGGTAGTCAAAAACGTAAATCTGGAACTACATGACAATTAAAATCATAAAATAATAGAATAATTGAGTCCAACCCCCTGCTCAATGCAGGAATACAAATCAAGGCAGATCTGACAGGTGATTGTCTAAATTTCTCTTGAATGCCTCCAGCATGGGAGCGCTTAACACCTCCAGAGGTCATTGGTTCCATTGACGTACTGCTCCAACANGCTCCAACAGTTAAGAAGTGTGTCCCCCCCCCCCCGATATTTAGCCTAAATCTGACTTCCTGGGTTGAGCTCATTATTACACGTACTATTTTGGCAGTTCATCAAAACTCATAGTTTTGTGGCATGCTTACAGTAATTCCTAAGTGTTTTCCATAAGACTAGGAATATGCCTTTAGCTAAAGATCAAACTAGGTAAGTCACTTTCTTCACAACATCATAGTGCTATCACCCTGAGACTGGTACAGTATTTCCCTCTCCATGTTTTGGACTACAACCCTTGTGAGCCTCCACCTGGACCTTTTCATTAAGGATGATGGAAGGAGTAGTCAAAAACCTAAGCAAGGCTCCAGGCTTGGAAATTTGGGCTTTTAGTGCTATGCAGAACAAGGGCAAAGATTTAGGAAAGAAGGAAGAAACACAGACATTTCAAGGCTCTGATGATATTTTAAAGACTTTTTTTATAAAAAAATCCTGACCTTTCATAGGCAAAGGTGGAGACACTGTGTCTTGACTGGAAGAAAGAGATCTGATTTATTTCACACACCTTTTGAAGCATGACACCTTCTTAAGGGCTAATTTGTATGTTACTTTTGGTGTTTGGGGACGTGGTGGTGCTGGGGATTAAACCGCAGAAGACTCTGTGCTGCCAGGTCAGAAGACCAGCAGTCGTAAGATCAAATCCACATGACAGAGTGAGCCCCTGTTGCTTGTCCCAGCTCCTGCCAACCTAGCAGTTCGCAAGCATGTAAAATGCGAGCAGATAAATAGGTACCACCACGGTGGGAAGGTAACGGCGTTCTGTGTCTAGTCGAGCTGGCCACGTGACCACGGAAACTGTCTACGGACAAACGCTGGCTCTATGGCTTGAAAAGTGGGATGAGCACCGCCCCCTAGACATGACTGGACTAAATGTAAAGGGGAACCTTTACCTTTACCTTTGGTGTTTGGGTCATAGGGGGACCAGGTCCATTCTCTAACCATCACCTTCTGGCTTGAAATGAAGGTGAGGCCACCTTGGGGAGAAACACTGTAGGGGTGAGATCAACGTCAACCTCCACTTACTTCTTCCTGTAATCTTCCAGTATGCCCCTTGCGTTGGTCAGGTCTGACTCCAGCTTACTTCGGTCACCCGCTATTGTGTCCAGTTCTCTCCTCATGTTATTGATAAAACTCTCAAACAGAGGCTCTATGTGGCTCTTGACCTGTTTCTGCTCCTGCAATAAGCTCCATTTTGTTCCCAGCACCTTGTTCTGCTGTTCCAAGAACCGAACCTAGATCCACCACCAAACAGAACAGCACTTCGGATGACAGGAGCGCACAGACCAAACTCTAAACGTGTGCATGTGCAAGTAGATATACAGGTACAGTGAAGGAAACAGTAAAACACATCCTGACTTATGGGTGGTTTCTACAGTCTGCCCCCACATCACAGTAATTGTCCCCTTCTACAAAGAGGTGGCATGCTTCAGTGTGTTTTAGATACACACTTGCAAATGTGCATGGGCTTAGTACCACTTTGAACTCTGATGATGACAAATACTGTATGATAACAGGACAATTTATTATGGTCAGGTGGAGGGCTGAAAACTGTGTTTGAGATCCCTCATCCCTTATCACCAAAATATGGTCCCCCAACATTCCCTGTAATAAATCAAGAAAGAATCTTGTGGCCCCTTAAGAGTTTTCCCAGAGTCTGGATTTTATGGAACTTCTGGTGGACTTCAGCCCATGGACTTCAGCCCACCTCATCTATTGATGGTGTCAACACTGTACTCCTCTGCTATTTACTCATTGTGGTCTTAGACTGCTGCTCAGGTGTGTGCACTGCTCTCTCTCATTCCATTTCCCCCCCTGCCCAGGACTATACTTGTGAGAAAATTTACAGGTCTCGACACAACAGGCTTTTCAGAAAGCTGTCAGTCCACCCCTTGCGCAAACTGTTTACAATACTGGAAGATATGCTCCAAATATACAAATATGGCTAACTGACAATCCTCATTAGACTTCTACTGTTAAGATCTCATGTTTCTGCCTAGGCTTGTAACATTCCAAAATGTATTGGATTTGTTACCTTTGTGTGGGAGTGTGTGTGTGTATGTGTGTGTGCACATGAGAGAGTAAGAATTCATCTATCTTTCTCCGTATCTGTCTACCTCCCTTGCTAATAGCAGCTCTCCAGACCTTCAGACAAGGTTTTTTCCCCAATACCACAGAAAGTAGAGGGGCCATAGCAGGATAGAGACTAACGATGGGCTGTAACAAGTATGTAGACTTGTCAAGCTGGAAGTTTTGCATCTGGCAGGACTAAAAAGCTGAGGATGAATAAGGATGGCTAAGGGTTTCCGTTCAGGATGTACTTACCACCCAGCTGGGGACGAATGAGATTTTTAAAATGTAGGAGGAACCAAAATGGGTGGATTAACACATCCAGCCCATTTTGTACTGGGCAAGAGAATGCCACCTCTTTTTTTCATGAGGAGTTTCTCTATGGCCAGCAGGCATGCACAGCATTGTTCCGCCATTGCTCAAAAGAGCTGAATTTGCCCACTGCAAACTGGGAAAGAATTTTGCGCCAGCTCACTTTTAAAGACTGTATCAAGACTTGCAAAGTACATTTTTGGGGACTGAAAGAATTTTGGGTTAAAGAAATCCAGTTGCAGAAAACAGTAAAACTAATTGGTCTTCTCATCTTTAGCAGGTAATAGTGAAGGCCTCAAGACTGAGGCTCTCACCAGATGTTTCTAGACAGAGTAGATAATCCTCGGCATAGCTTGGAAACATTGTTAAACAACAGTTCTTAGGATCCCCAGACATGGACACGGTGGGGTCTGGGAGCTGTTGCCTAAAAGTCATGACTTTCCCCCTTTCTGGAGTGGGCCAGTCCCATATAACTTTCCCACTGGGTTTCAAGGACCTGACCTCCGATTTATATGTTCTTTACAATATGAGAATTTGTTTACTGATCACCAGCTTCAAAGTGACCTTCAATCCAGTATAGAATTACAAATTCCCCAAAATATTCCTGTGCATTTCCCTGTTATGAAATGTGACATGCTTCCTTTGCTCCCATTAGGACGTGATAATACAGGCTTATATCAGTTTATCAGTTTGTTCTAAACCCAATTAACTTCTCCATTGAATACCTACAGGGGTTGTCCCGTAAGCAGCCTGTGATCTCCCGACTCACCTTGTCGATGAACGAAGCAAATTTGTTGTTGAGGGTCTTCAGCTGTTCTTTCTCCTGTTGCTTCACTGCTTG